AGGCCGCGAGAAAGAGAGCAGCGAACAGCAGGAGCAGGAGCCGAAGTGGGAGGAGCGGGAGGAGCAAGAGGACCAGAGGAAGGCGGCGGAGGGGAAGGGAGCGGGGCGACAGCGATGGGGAAGCACCAGGATCCAGAAACGTGGCCCGCGCTGGGGCGAGTGCGCGTATCCTCCTCCTCCTCCTCCTCCCTCCTCCTCCTCCTCCTCCTCCTCCTCCCCTCCTCCTCCTCCTCTTCCTCCTCCTCCTCCTCCTCCTCCTCCTCCTCCTCCTCCTCCTCCTCCTCCTCCCCCTCCCGGGCGCACCGCGGCGATATTCAAGTGAGGTCAACGCGGCAGCTGGGGCGCCATTTTGAAAGGGGCGAAGACGTTTGGACTGAGACAACACATCATCAGAGAAGCAGACTCGCACCGACCTTGGTTTGAACAAGCCTGGCGAAAGACCCAACCATATGCAGCTGTGACTACCGCAGTTGTGGGTATCGTCTTCGGTGGAGCTCCCTGTGGGCCACGAAACGCTGTCATGGGCGGGGGACATGCATGCGAACTTCGCCACCGAGGCCTTCGGTGGAGCCCCCGATGGGCCACGAAACGCTGTACTGGGCGGGGGGGCGCATGCGAACTTTGCCACTGAGGCCTACGGTGGAGCCCCCTTTATGGGGCCACGAAACGCTGTACTGGGCGGGGGAGGCGCATGCGAGTGCAGCCACTAAGGCATTCGGTGGAGCTCCCTATGGGGCCACGAAGCGTTGTGATGGGTGGGGGAACTGCATGCGAGTTCCGCCGTGGGGGGCTTTCGGTGGAGCTCCCTATGGTGCCCCGAACCGCTGTGCTCGGTGTGGGAACCGCATGCGGGTTCCGCCTCTAGGACCCTTGGTGGAGCTGAACTGCCTGTGGGGCCACGAACCGCTGTACTGGGCGGGGGAGCCGCATGCGAGCTCCGCCACTGGGACGTTCGGTGGAGCTCCCGATGGCGCCACAAAACGCTGTACTGGGTAGGGGAACCGCCTGCGAGTTCCGCCGCTGGGACTGTCTGTGGAACTCCCCATGGGGCCACGAAACGCTGTACTGGGTGGGGGAACCGCATGCGAGTTCCGCCACCGGGACCTGCGCTGGGGCTCCCTATGGTGCCGCGAAACGCTGTACTGGTGGCGGAGACGCCTGCGAATTCCGCCGCTGGGTCCTTCGGTGGAGCCCCCATATGGGGCCACGAACCGCTGTACTGGCTGGGGGAACCGCATGCAAGTTCCGCCTCTGGGACCTTCGGTGGAGGGGCAACGAACCGCTGTACTGCGCGAGGGGGAACCGCATGCGAGTTCTTTCACTGGGACCTTCGGTGGAGCCTTTTATGGGGCCACGCAGCGTGTGGGGGGTGTGCCGAAATGGATGGGGGGCGCATGGATGATGCTGATGATGTTGATGATGGTGATTATGCTGATGATGATGGCGGTGATGCTGATGATGGTGATGGTGATGATGATGGTGATGATGATCATGATGGTGATTATGATGATGATGCTGATGATGATGATGACGAGGATGATGATGATGCTGATGATGATGATGACGATGATGATGATGAGGGTGGTGCTGATGATGATGCTGATGGTGATGCTGATGATGCTGATGATGATGATGATGGTGATCATGACGATGATGATGATGATGATGCTGATGCTGATGCTGATGCTGATGCTGATGATGATGCTGATGATGATGATGATGATGATGATGATGATGATGATGATGATGATGATGATGATGATGATGATGATGATGATGATGATGATGATGATGATGATGATGCGGATGCGGATGCTGATGCTGCTGATGATGATGAGGACGGTGATGGAGGAGGGAGGCGGGGGAGGAGGAAGGAGAAAGGAGGAGGGAAGCGCGGAGGGAGAACGCGGGGCGTGCCACTCTCAGGCCATCGTCGGGGGAGAGAGGAGAGTAGTATTCATGTTGTGTAACTGTAGAAGGGAAAAGGGGGAGAGCACGAGTTGGAGGATTGCGGGGTGAGTGGGGGGAGAAGACTTTGGAGGAGGGTGAGACGGAGCGTTCGGAGCTGGAAAAAGAATGAGAGGATCGAGCGCAGCTGAAGAAGTGGCAAAGGAGGAGGAGAATGAGAAGGAGGAGGTGGAGGAGGGGATGCTGAGGAGGAGTGCAAGTAGCTGAGCACCGAACGTCGTCCCAACTACATGCTGATGGCAGCCTACGTTGCTTTGAGTAGGCTGAGGTACGCAGAGTGCGTGTGAGGAGGCGATGCAGCGTGGTGCACTTCGTTGCAAAAGTGAGATCACAGCACTGTGTAACCATATTGCTTGCGCCCCACTTGCGTGGTATCCAAATGCGGGAGCGCAAGCCCGAAACGAGTCTGAGGATCCAGAGTGAGAGAGATCGAGCAGGGGACATAAAACCGAGGAGGCGGGGACATGAAAGGCAGTATGGAAAAGCGTCGGGATACATACGACAGCCAAAATGGCACGACCTGGGTGTTTCCACCTTGACCCTGTGTGTGGTCGCCAACCCTCCTGCTGTAGTTTTCAAGTGGGCCCAAAACCATACCGGCCTCGAGGCCAATCAAATCAACCTCAACTCGGACCATGCCTGCCCTAACTCTGCAACTGGTGGGGCGGCGCGTTCACCAAACCACTTTTCGCATCGACGCCTGAAGAGATGAGGCATGGAGCCAGGGAAGAGGGACATGATCAAGGAGGTAAGGTAAAGACCTCGGGGTCGGGGTCGGCAATGCGCTGCGACGGCATCAGCACAACCACGAATGGTAGCCTGGCTAGCCACGTGGAGACGCGAGCGCGAGAGTTTATGCCAAGGCGTGCTACCAAAACCATCAGCCCAGCGCTGCACAATCGCTCGGGGCTCCTTCCAGAGCTGGCATGGCCAGTCTCCCTGGACAGCCTGCGGTAGCGAAAGGGCGTCTTCTGCACTGGTGCGAAGTCCCTCCATCAAAGGGTCCCAATCCTGAACTGTAAACGCAGATGTGCGCCAACGACGGGCCTGGCTCCACGGAGACAAGGGCTGATGCCGTTCACCGGGTAGCCAACACACAAAGCGAGTGGAGGGTGGGACCATCAAACGAAGCAGGAGGGAGGCGGAGGACACGGTGCAAAAGGCCGAGCTCTCGGGAAAGCATGACGTCTCGAGGTCTAAGAAATTGGTCGAGATAAGAGGGGCCGGTGAGGGCAATAGACGAGTACGACCGAATCGACGCATCGGCAGGGGCACGGGAGGTGGGTGGAGCGTTCTAGCCACTTCTGCTAGGCTGCTTTCCACTGGTCGGGGTTGTGGCGCCCAGACCCATCAGCACCCCCAAACAACGAGCATCCCCCTCCACCTTAAACCTCGACCATTCGGGTACCACCTGTCTAATCGGTTCCAAACCCGTGAGACGGGCCCCCGGCGAGACATCACACCACAAGGGAACGAGGACGGTTTTGGTCGTCTGCAAACACAGAGCGGCGAGACGTTCAGCCGCTACGAAGACTGGTCGTAGAATATGGAGCGCCGTTAGATGTTGAAGTACAGCCCCGACATCGTCTGCGCATGCTCCCGCGTCGCCATTTCTGGTTTCCACCATGTCGGTGTGCAGGTGGCGCAGCAGCGGGTCCACTGCCAAAGCCCATCGTGTGCCAGAGAGTGGGCAGCCTTGGGCTACTCCGCCCGTCGCCCAGAGTAGGGGTTCATGCAAGTGAGCCACTCTGCAGAACACCAGGCTGTTCTCGTACAGCGCCATGATCGCGTTGATGAAGCCATCAGGTGTAAGAAACCAGCGTAGCACGAGCCATAGCCACCGCCGCGCCAATGACGGGAAGGCGGCCTTTCTATCGGGGTTGACGAAGCACGGTTTGTCCTCCATGATAGATGACCAGTTCGAAGCAATTCGCGCTCGAGCGTCCAGTCTGGGTATGCGCTTGGTGAACAGTCGTGTCGGGATGAATCCTTGCTGTATGGGATGCGCCTCCATTTGCGCGATCGTCTTGAACTTCGCGTTGATGGGCCAAAAGATTGCCGTCGCTGTTCTTGAGAGGCAGAGGCCAGACCGCGTGAGCATGTCGCAGGACTTCCACTCGATCCTCTGGCTCGTCGCCTTTGGGTAACACCACCATATCATCATAGTTGCGGCCAGGCGGGACAGGAAGCCCCGAGGACAGGTGCAGCATCATGTCGTAGAGGCACTCCTTGAGCTTGCTGTGCGCGCCCCACGCCGAGTAGGTGAGCCGATCTGGGCCTGGTGTGGTGTCCGTGCTCTTAGCGATGACGGTGCACATGTCGTTGTAGGTGGGCGTCGCGATGTCAGGCGCCGTGCGCGCGGGCATGTGTTCATCGAGGTAAGTGTCAATGTCTGCTTCGCTCACCGTTGTGTCCTGGAAGATCGGCTCCCAATGTTTGGCAACGGCCTTGACAACGTCCTCGTGCTGTCGCGCCACTCCAGCCGCATCAGAGTGAGGATCACCCATGAAACGCTGAAATCCTCCAGGCTGCGACATGCGAACTCCTGCCAGGACAAGTCGAGGTCGATGTTGCATCCACATCATTCCTCGACGCGTGAGAGGTGTGCCGACCCAAGCGGGGGCGACATGCGAACCCTGTCAGTGCGGCCTTCGGTGAACCCCCCTATGGGGCCAGGAAGCGTGTGAGGGGTGTGCCGAAATCAAGAGGCTGCGAGCCCTGCTACTGGGGACCTCGGTGGAGCTCCCTATGAGGCCACGAAACGTGGAAGGGTGTGTCGACATGGGCGGGGCGACGCCAGGTGGGCGCACCCACTGGGGTCCTCAGTGGAGCTCCCCGAGGGGGAGGGAGTGCCAAAATTGACAGGGCGACGCCCTGCGACGCACCCACTGGGGCCATCGGTGGAGCTCCCCTAGGGCCACGAAACGTGCGGACGGGGTCACGCCATGCGAACGCATGGGCGTGCCGAAAGAAGCGCAGCAGATGCAGCAGGAGTGGCAGGGATGAGAGGAGGGGAAAGGAGGATCAGGAGGAGAAGAGAGGATGAGGGGGAGGAGGAGGGAGTGAGGTGCGCGGCGCTGCGGATGCAAAACGAGGCCCCGTGAACACGAGCACGGGAGACAGAAACGTAGGAGGGCAGGTGGGGAGGTGGGGCGCGGCGCTGCGGACTCAAAACGAAGACCCGTTGACCACCCCGCTGCCGCCCAGCCAAAGAGCACCTCGACCATTCTCGACCGATCCTCGGTCGATCGATCTTCGATCCACGACCCTCCTCGGATCCATCGATCGCCGCTCCACACTCTACTGAAAACGATCCCGGGCCAGACCCGTTGGGCGCCGGTCCGCCATAGCTGCGGCGGCAACACACTCTCGAGAATCGGAAATGGGGGGAATTCGCTGATCGACTTGGTAGCGTGGGGGTTCGATCGACCTCCGAACACAGTTGACACATGCGATATGACACCTTCCAATGTTTGCCAGCGTGGGCCCCAAACAGCGAGATGTTGCACTGTGGATGTGTGAGCTACGTAGCGTGATGTCTGATGTGTGATATGTGTGCTGTGAACTATAAGTTGTAAGTTATAGGGCGCAAAACATGTGGTGCAACCTGTATGGTGTGAGCTCTGCGGTCCGAGCTGTGTTTAGCATCATATATATATATATGTATATGTGGTATTATATGATGTGTGGTGCAAGCTATGTTATGCAGCATGTGCGGTGCAAAACATCGGTGTGAGCTATGTGGTGTAAGCTATGCGATGCAGTCTTAGTGGTGCAACCTATGCCCTGCTGTGTGAGCTGTGTGCTGTCTGGTGCACCGCGTGGCACGAACTACCACGTGCAAGCTATGCTGTGCACGCACACAGTGCGCCCACGAGGCGGCCACGGGCGGCAACGTGGCGAAACCGACCCGCCGAGCGCCTGAGGTGGCCACGAGGCGGCCACGTGCGGCACACGTGGAGAAACCCCGCCGGACCCACGCAGCGCACGAGACGGCCGCGAGGCGGCCACGGGCGGCAATCGTGGCGAAGCCTCCCTCGCCCGCGGGGCGGCCACGAGCGGCCACGGGTTGGCAGCGCGGCGAGACCTCGCCAAAACCCACCCGGGGGCACGGGGCGGCCACGGAGCGGCCTCGGGCGGCCACGCGGCGAGATCTCGCCAGACCCACCAAGCGCAAGAGGCGGCCACGAGGGGGCCACGGGCGGCGACCTGGAGAACCCTCGCCGGACGCATCCAAATCCTCAGTGGCATGAGCAAGAACTCACCAGTGCAAGCGCTCGCTTTTTGAGGAACAGGACATGCTCGGGCTCGCGCTTCGCCGATGGCTGGAAGTCCTGAGGTGCCCCAGAGCTCCTGCGGGTCCCGGAGGTCATCGGGGGATCGGAAATGTCCGTGGGGCACCTGCTGTCAGGTCGATCCCTGCTTGAGGGTGCCTACTGTACCCTCCCTCTGCACATTCTGACGTTTGGTCCATGCAAGAAGCAACAAAAGAATTCCACAGGTCGGCCCCCCAGCGGGTCGCAGAGCCACGCTCTGGCATCAAGGAGGGCGGCGCCCCGCGCAGCGTTTACCGCGTCGGGCGCGCGAGGCTCGGCCTCGAAAAAAAACACGGTCCCTCCCCACTCCCCCCTCCTGAACAGGGCGAGGACGACGTCATGATGCGCTTGGCTCAGGAGACGCTGAGACGGTCCAGAAGCTCCGAGAAGTATCCAGAGGCCCTCGGCTCTGCCGCCCGTGCGGAACAGGAGAGAACCTGGGAAACCTGGGAGGTCTTCGATCAGATCAGTATCATGACCTCCTGCTCCTTCGACCGAGGGCGGAAGATGGAGCACCCTAAGGTGCATCAACGATGCTGCAGCACACCCTCCAATCCCAGGCCTCCCCTGGGAAACCTGGGAGGTCTTCGACAAGATCAGTATCATGACCTCCTGCTCCTTTGACCGAGGGCGGAAGATGGAGCACCCTAAGGTACCTCAACGATGCTGCAGCACACCCTCCAATCCCAGGCCTCCCCTGGGAAACCTGAGAGGTCTTCGACCAGATCAGTATCATGACCTCCTGCTCCTTCGACCGAGGGCGGAAGATGGAGCACCCTAAGGTACCTCAACGATGCTGCAGCACACCCTCCAATCCCAGGCCTCCCCTGTACTGGTCATTCTGCAGTGTCTTGCTTGACAACGGGGAGCGCCCCCGGGTGCCATGCAGACGGGAGCCCCGTTGTGAGAAGGGCCCCCCTTCACCCTGCATCGAGATCTGGGAGCACGAATCCCACCAGCCCTCTGGGCGTAGGTGGTTTAACGAACTGTGCCTTCTCTCCCCCTCCTTCCCCTGCTCGGGGGGGAGGGTTACCCCTCCTTCTACCCCGTCCCCTGGGCCTGGGAAGGGGGGGGATGGTCCGGGTAGCTTGAGTTTCATGCCCAAAATGGCTCCAAGAGTGCCGTTGTTTCTTCCGCTCTCCAGCCCACGGAACGCTGTCAGGATGACGCAGCTGACTCACGCACCTATGCAAGGACTTGGTCTGTTTCGCCAATTGGTGTTGCCACTCTGGCCAGAGGGCTGCATGCCCCAGTAACGGAACGCAAGTATGGACAGACAGACATATGAGGGGAACCCAACTTGGGATACAGTCGTTGCTCCTATACAGGGAGTCCACATACGCACTGGATTGGCTTCTCAATGTGAATCCATTTGTCTCAAACGCTTTCACTATTTGATGCGCTTTGCGATTCTGCTGGGCTGTGGGCTCTCTGGCCCTTCTGCTGGGCTGTGGGCTCTCGCCTGCTTCGCCGCTTCCGGCCTTCCCAGGTCATCCCTTCTCGGGTCCTCAGCGGGGACCCGCTATCCCTACAAAACGAGGCCAAGCCGCAATCCGCCAATTTAGATCACCATACTCCCTCCGCCCCATGCTGGCCACTCCTGGGCCGATCAGGTCAGTAAGCAAGTACCGTGTTGAAGCGCCGCCTGGGCACCTATGCAACTAGCCTACATCACATTATCCGTAACTCCTGGCGCAAGGGCACCGTCATGTAAGGACGGTCCCTAGGGGCCCTGCTTGTCGAGGCCCAGGCCAGAAGCATGCGGATCTAGCTTGTCATGCACACTCCAGTCCTGCTCCTCCTCCTCCTCCTCCTCCTCCTCCTCCTCCTCCTCTTCCTCTCCTCCTCCTCCTCCTCCTACTCCTCCATCCCTTTTCCTTATACATAGCTCCTCCCTGTCGCACCCCGAGACGTGTCGGTAGGGCTGGCCGGGCGTTTCGCCTGAGACTTCCTCACCAACTATGATCCTGAAGCTCATCATGTGCAGCAGCTTCACGCATGTAGGGCGGGCGGTTTTCAAAATGTGGCTCTCGCCTGAGCGCCACGCACACTCGTGGAGGGCGGTGGTTTTCAAAATGTGGTTCTCGCCGTAGCGCCGCGTACACTCGTCTTTAAAATGCCAGAGCTACAAGGATGAAGGCGGCTCCTTTTCAAAATGCGGCTCTCGCCTGAGCGCGCGCACCTTCGTCTTCAAAACTTGCATGAGTTTTACGGATGGAGGGCGGCTCATCTTCAAAATGTGGCTCTAGCCGTAGCGCCACGCACATTCGTCTTAAAGGTTACAGCAGTTTGACGGACTCTGATGGTTGACGTCCCAGGAATGGTGTCGCGGCACGATTTTGGATTGCAAGGACGCAGCGGTCTCGTTGATTCGCGGTGTTGGAGTCCCAGGAATTGTGTTCTGACACGATGCAGGATCGTCAGGAAGCAACAGTGACATGGTTCGCGGCGCTGAAATCCAAGAAGTTGTGTTTTGCCACAGTTAAGGATTCTCAGAAGGTTGCCGTCCAACGGAGCACTTCCAGCAGTGACAATGCATCATTGCAGGGACCTATGAAAGGGGAGACTTGAAGTGTTGCAACATCGTTGGTGCGCTTTGGGGTCATACCACAACCCTCATCATCAGAACCGTAATCGTCATCATCATCAGCAAAATCATCATCACCACCACCATCATCAGCATCATCATTAGAACCATCAGCATCATCATCATCATCATCATCATCATCATCATCATCATCATCATCAGCAGCATAATCATCAGCAGCATCACCTTTCCCAGTATCAGCATCATCATCACCATCATCATCAGTAGCATCACCACCATCATCATCAGCATCATTGATATAACCAGATTCATCATCATTATTATCATCAGCATCATGAGCATCATCAACATCAGCATCATCATCATCAGCATCACCATCACCATCATCATCATCACCATCATCATCAGTAGCATCACCATCATAACCATCATCGCCACCACCACCATCACCATCCACATCAGCAGCATCAGCATCAGCATCAACATTAGCATCACCATCATCATCAGCATCATCATCATCGTCATCATCATCACCGTCAGCATCACCATCATCTTCATCATGATTCCACGTCCTCCTCCTGCGGGACGCCCCCCGTCACCTGTGGAAAATCAGCCCCGCCCCCCCACATCCCCGGGTCCCGCCCCCACCAGCCACGCTCTCCAGACATCCCAGCCCAACCCTGTGGGAAGACTGAAGGATGGGCACAGATGGCTCCTGGAAGCAGTTACTGCTGCCCTCGACAGCCCCACAGGGTCATCCGCGGCGGTCTCAACACCCAACGCCACCTCCAGTGGCGCCCTGTGTGCCGCTCCGTTCCCCTGGGTTTGCTTGCGCTGCGACCGCCCACGGCTGCCCAAAGGAGGCTGCTGAGGGCAGCCAGGACTACCAGCATAACTTTCTGTGCGCAAGCCCATACCTTGCCACATCCTTGCTCCTAACATTGGCATCTTCCCACATCGGTGCCAACCTCAAGGACTGCTCCAGCCTCTGAGGGCGCGCCCATGAGATTGTCATCTATCTGGGCCTTCCAACCCTACGCAAGGACAGGGATGAGTTCGAGGCTGGTTACGCTAGTAGCTCTCCGATCCCGACAGCCAACCCAGACGGCGGGCGCCCCCGAAACCGGCAAGGCCACAACTTCTGCGCTGGAGAAAAAAACAGCTCAGCGCGAGGAAGGCGCAGGCGTTCTGGAGCAGCCTGCAAGGATAGACTATTTCGCCAGGGTTTTGGCGGACAGAGGGGGGTGCGGGGAAACAGCGGGGGCGGGTGAGGGAAGGGAAAGGAGGCGACAAAAAGCGCGCTCAGACGGTGCCGATGTCGAGAATGATCGCCACCCCTGCCAGCACCCACTTGTCCGGAACGGCCTTCGTGCGCAGCTGCGCCGGGAAGACGAAGTACGGCCGCCGGGTGGGCACGCAGTACGCTGGGCAGATGTAGACGTTCTTGTCCACCTTGTCCATGAGAGGGCCTGCCTTGCAGATGATGACGGGCAGCTGCGTGAACATCTCTTTGGGCTTGGAGTCCTCCAGTGAGTTGCCTGTGCTGTCCCAGCGCGCGCCCTCCAGGTACATGCCTGTGACGAAGATGGAGACGGGGAAAAAGACGGAGAGGGAGGAGGAGGAGAAGGAGGAGGACGTTGAGGACGGCGACGAAGAGCAGGAGGACACGGGCGAAGAGGAGGGAGACTGGACATCATTGCCTGTAACGAACGCGCCTTCCTTGGAGTGGCCCTCCACCTGCTTGACATCCCTCTTCGTGACCTCCGTGTAGACCTGGAGCTTGTCGAGCTCGAGACCCTGCTGCTGGCAGCACAACTGCTTGATGGCCGTCAGGAAGCTCTGCGGATTGAAGAGCTTCGCGATGTCGACCACCTTAGGGATGGTCAGCGGGTCGTTGGTCCAGTCCTCCAGCTGCACGCACCGATCCTGCAGGTTTACGCGCCACGACTTGAGCGGCCGCGTCGAGGGAAATCCCAGCTTCATCCACCAAGTGGGGAGTTTTTCTAGCCAGAGCGAGTCGGCGATCTCTTCCATCTGTTCGCTCATCGTCAGTTCGCCTTTGAACCCGAGCTGAAGCTCCTGGAGCCCTCTGACCATCTCGTAGACCAGCCCGTTCATATACTCGCATTCCTGCAGGAACACGTACTGGTAAGGTCCTTTCTCCTCGTCGCTCAGCGAGCGGCTGATGTCTTCGGTGGGGAACTTCTTCTCCAACACCTCTTCCAAGATCTCGCCACAGAGGGTTTCCGCAATGGCCATGGGACTCTGCTGATCGCCGTCGCCGTCGCCGCCAGAGGCGGCGGCGCCCATCAGAAGAATCAGCGACTCGAATGTCGTGTCGCACAACTTCGTGCGGAAGTTGATTTCTGCGTTCGGGTGCATCCCGAAGAACAGAGGAGACTCCACCGGCATGGTTTCCATGTGTTCCACGTATTTGTCGTGAGGGCCTGGCTGAGGGGACATCCAAGACAGCTTCCCGTCTGCGTAGGGAACCATCTCGAGCTCATCTAAGAGCTCGTCCTTCATGAAATACAAGAGGTACTTCTCGCACATGCGGCGGTCCCAGTCGTCGACAATGTGTCCCCCATACATGATCTCGCCGAAAATGTATCCGCCCACCCCTTGGGGTTCATCGGCGTGTCGGATGTTTTCCCGGCCCCAAACCCCTCCCCCGGGAGCCTGGTCTGGTCGATCTGGAAGGGGGGGGTCCCCCGGGCCCAAGAGGGGGCCCAGCAGGGGAACCCGAACGGACATCTTGAGTCATCCACCCCAAGACGCCTCCGGTTTGCCCCAAGAGCCCGCAACAGGCCCCCCGGGAGCCACAAGATGGCCGCAAAAAGCCCCCAACAGGCCCCCAGGAGGCCCCCAAATGGTTCAACAACTGCCTCCAAGACGCCCCCGAAACGCATCCCACGAGACCCAATCAGCCATCCGAGTGGCCTCAGACCCGCAACCCACGCACGGTGGCGTGATGTGCCGAAAGCCATTCAATAATCATTCGTCGGGTGTTTGACACACATCCCATCCGTCTGTATAAGTGGGTTGTCGCCCGTTTCCCCACGCTTCCCTTTACCGTGTGACGTGCTCAATCAATTTGCGTCAAGTGACCAAAGGGGTTGGCTCAAACTTGCCAGGACAATGACAGCGCAGGCGCCGTTATATGTTGTGAAAGTTACATGGGATGCGCTCACGTGGTACGCTTCACAAGACAACAACATAAGGACCAGGGTTCAGGGCCCTGCTTGAGGAGGACATGGGCGCGGGAACCAAGGGCAGGAGAAGAACGCGCGGGGGGCCGAACCGTCAGCGCGGCAGCAGCAGAGGGAAGGTGGCATGGGGGCAGGGGACGACGACGACAGTGACGCGAGGAGACCGAACAGTGTTGTTTTTGCCGGTAGTACGCTAAAGATGCAGCGTTGCCTACGCCATGTCGCCGCGGCGCGCGAAAAATATTAAACCTGCTTAGAATTAGTGCAAGAACCGCGTTGGCACCGCCACGGCAGCACGTGCTGGACCTCCTCCCCCGATTCCTCCTCCTCTTCCTCCTCCACCTCGTCTTCCCCTTCCTCCTCCTCCGCCTGCCGGGTCTGTGACGACCCCGGAACTCGAAACAACCCCCAGGTGACAGAACAAGGCGTCATTCCGCTGGACCCCAGGGATGGCGAGGTCTCCTGGTGGTCCGCGTAAGACGTCACTCCACTGGACACCCCAGCAGCCCTCTAAAGTGGCGACACTTTCGCCGTTCGCAGCCCAACGAGGGATGGCGAGGTCTTCTGGTGGTCTACGACGACAGCCCTAGAAAGTGGCGCCGGTTTCACAGATCGCAGCCCTACACGTATGGCGAGATCTCGTCTGAATCTGGGTAAGACGTCACTCCGCTGGGCCCCCAAGCAGACCTCAAAAGTGGTGCCAGTTGCACAGATCCCAGCCCCACACGGATGGCGAGGTCTTATCCGAATCTGGGCAAGACGTCACTCCGCTGGGCCCCGCAGCAGCCCTCGAAAATGGCGACAGTTTCGCAGATCGCAGACCCACAAGGGATGGCGAGGTCTCATCTGAATATGGGTAAAACGTCACTCCGTTGCATACCCCAGCAGCCCTCGAAAGTGGCGACAGTTTCGCAGATCGCAGACCCAAGTGGAAGGCAAGGTCTCATCTGAATCTGGGCAAGACGTCACTCCACTGGGCCCCCAAGCAGCCCTCGAAAGCGGCGACAGTTTCGCAGATCGCAGACTCACACGGATGGCGAGGTATCATCTGAATCTGGGTAAGACGTCATTCCGCTGCACCCCCCAGCAGCCCTGGAATATGGCGATAGTTTCGCAGATCGCAGACCCACAAGGGATGGCGAGGTCTCCTGGTGGTCCGCGTAAAACGTCAATCCGCTGAACCCCCCAGCAGCCCTCGAAAGTGGCGACTGTTTCGCAGATCGCAGCCCCACGAGGGATGGCGAGGTCTCCTGGTGGTCCGCAAAAGACGTCACTCCGCTGCACCCCCCAGCAGCACTCGAAAGTGGTGCCAGTTTCACAGATCGCAGCCCCACACGGATGGCAAGGTCTTATCTGAATCTGGGTAAGACGTCATTCCGCTGGGCCCCCAAGCAGTCCTCGAAAATGGCGACAGTTTCGCAGATCGCAGACCCACAAGGGATGGCGAGGTCTCATCTGAATATGGGTAAAACGTCACTCCGTTGCACCCCCCAGCAGCCCTCGAAAGCGGCGACAGTTTCGCAGATCGCAGCCCCATAGGGATGGCCAGGTAGGAGGCAAGCTGGTACGCAGGAAGGAGCGAGGTGAGAGGCAGGAGAGAAGAGGAGAGGAGGAGGGGGGCGGGAGAAGGAGAAGACGCGCGGGCAGTGTTGTATTCAAAACGAATACCCAACGCAGGGTTGGGAAAAACTGCCTCCATGACGCCCCCGAGACGCCTCTCATGAGACCCCATCAGCCATCCGAGTGGCCTCAGACCCGCAACCCAAGCACGGTGGCGGGATGTGCTGAAGGCCATTCGATAATCATTCGTCGGGTGGTTTGGTAGATGCCCTCTATCTGTATACGCGGGTTCTCGCCCCATTCCCCACGCGTGTACGGCGTGTACTGAGAATGTCAGCCCAAGAGGCCCCGATAAGGCCCACAAGAGGCCCCCTTTTATGAAGCCCCAAAAAAGCTCCAAGAAGCCAGCCCAAAGGCGCATAAGAGGCCCTCAAGAGCAACACACAACAACCGCCAGTTCCCAAAGGGGTCGGCGGTGTGGCGTAAGCCCAAGAATCGCAAGTCGTCCCAGGGAATCTTCACCGAAGAGCTGCCCTCCAGGTAGTTGTACAGCACCTGCGCGGAGTCTCGGAGGTCGCCGGCAGAGAAAGGATATAGCATGTTGTAACCCATTGCGCCGAACTTCTTCCTCTCGAGCATCAGGGAATGAAAGTGCACCAGGGCGAATAGGATGGACTTTACCCTCCCGTCCTTGTCCTCGAAGTCCTCCTTGCTGAAGAGCGCGAAGGAGCGGCGGAGGTTGGCTTGCATGCCCTGGGGAGGCTCGTTCGTGAGCTTGATGGAGCGCTCCAGGATGCCGATGGGGATGCCCTTGCTGGGGTCGGCGGACAAAATCACCCGCATACCAAAGTGGCTGTTCTCCACGGCGAACGCATCCAGCTTCTTCTCCAGCTCGATACACCACTTCGGCATCAGGTGGATGTTCTGGAGCATGACCCAGTGCCCTTCGCGGTGGCCGATCTCTAGCTTCGCCATCGCCACCACGTCCTGGCCTTGACCCATTGCCACGTTGTGATAGTTCACGCCGAGCTGCAGGTTGATAGTCTTCCTTCCCATGGCCTCAACCTCCTTCACCGGGTCCGCACCAGGAGACAGGATGAAGAAGATGGGGGTTACACTCGTGGAGTCATCAAAAGATGACTGCAGAATCTGCTGGAAAGACGACGAGCCATCGCAATCCATGTAATCGCGCCCATTTGGCAATGTGCTCCGGATCCAGTCGGCAAGCGCACCACACAGCCTGTCTGGGCGCAGGCACCTGAGCACCAGGAGCTTCTGGAAAGGCAGGGAATCGAGCTTCTTCCAGTCCAGGGGCAGCTTGATGTCCTCGGGGGCTAGCTCGTTGAACCACTCCTTGAAGCGGTTGGGCGCATCCTTCTCCATGTTGGTGGCGAACGAATCGAAGCCCTCCAGCTCAGAAAGCCTCAATACCAGGCCCCAGTTCTTGCTCGGTAGCCATTCCGACAGCGGGTTCTCCATGCCCACCATGCCGGGCGCACGCAGCAGGAAGTTCAGGTAGCTGGAGTTGTACTCCTCCCCAGTCAGCTGGCCTTTCGTGAAGAGCTTAAAGGTGAGCATCGAGCAGAAGATCAGCTTGTGACGCTCGAACAGGCCGCGATTCACCCAGCGGAAGATCACCATGCGGATCATGGCGATCATTCTCTGGGAGCGGAGAGCGACATCATCGGATGCCTCTGTTTTGTCGATCGCCTTGTAAAGGAAGGAGATAAATGAATCCAGCGAGTACTGATACATGTGCTCAATGAAGCAGAGTTGGATAATCAAGAAGAACAGCATTGAACCCTCTGCTGCCACTGGCCTATACTGCTCGCGCGATGTGTTGATCTCCAACTCGGTTTTCTGAGCCTCTTTGACCTGTATCCCGATCTCTTTCGACGTCGCTTTCGTCTTCTCGAGGCCCTCGATGAGCGGCAAGTTGTCGAGAATAGTGGCTGGGTCTGCAGCCGAGAGCTGTGACAGCAGATCATCCTCCAGACTGGCCAGCGTCACCTTGAACTCGTTCTGCCGCCTCACCAAGGCCTGGGGAAGCAAACAAGTACCAATACTGCTACTCCCCGGACCGATCCCGGGGTGCGTTCTGACTAGAATTACGAGGCGAATCCAGCGGTGGCGACGAGGGCCTCCGAGGAGGCCCAAAAGTGGGAGAACGAGGGAAGGGTAGCGGTGTAGGTACCCTTTTCCTCCTCTGAGGGCCTGCTTCTGCTGCTCCAGCTCGGGCTTCTCAACGTTCACTACCAGTGCCAGTATCTGGTCCTCCAGGCCCTCCGGCGTGACGATGAAGTTGATTATGGTGCACTGCGCCGCGATCTCGGGCCTGTAGTGCGGGTTGGGCAGCTTGGACTGCAGGTACAGCTGGAACTTAGGATCGTAGTCGACCTCCTCACCGCCGATCTTGATAATCATAGCGGTACGGCCCCGCTTCACCACCGCGCGCGACAACACCGGCTCCAGAATAGCATCGATCTCGCCACCTACGGACTCCAGGAGGAGCTGCCCGCCCATCTGAATGGAGAAGACAACTTTCTGAAGCCAGTTGTTCATGGTAAACTGGAGCACTTGGAGGTCCTCTCCAATCCTCTGCTTGATCCACTTGACACCCTGCAGCTGGGGGTCGATCATGAGCGGCCAGCGCGAGCAGCTCGTCACCACCGCGGCGTTCTCCAACGAGATGCGGTCCGAAGGGAGCCCCTCGTTCAGCCAGCCAGCGATGTCCGCCTCTGTCGCCAACGCCTTCAGGGGGTCGATCGAGGGGGAGATGGGAATCGCCTTGTCGGTGATGTCCTTAGTCCACGTTTCCTTCCACAACTCCAAGCGCAGGCGCATGTTGAAAGGCGAGATGTATCCCACAAAGGCAGAAGACAACAAGCAATTGCCGATGAGCTTCACCGTCAATTCCTTCATATCCTTGACGGTGTCCGTCCAGCGCTTGTACTCGTCGGCCAGGCCGAGCACGAGACGCTCCGCCAACTGCAGTTTCTCGAGACACTTGGCAGCCTGCTGCTCAGTTTTCTCCTTCTCATTTACAGCTCCATTCAGCTTTTCGTCCAGCAGGGCGCATTCCGCATCGAGGGCTGCCACCTGCTGCTTGACGATCGCCAGCGATGCCTCAGCCTCTGATTTCGTCTGCGTAGCTTCCTCCACCTTGGCCATGAGAGGCGCCACCTTAACGTAGATCTTGTGATATTTCACAGAATTCACGATCCAATTTGCGAGATTCGCTGCTGCAATACTCTTAGACTTCATTGTCTCAAAATTAAAAAACGGCTGCGCCAGCAATTCGTCAACGTTCTTCAGCGTCTGCTCCGGGATCACCTCAGGGCTATATGCCTTCACCTCCTCGAGGAACGCGTTCGGATTGTTCATCATTTTCTGGGCTGCTGCCCAGGGTATCTTCTTCTTCTCGTTCTTCAGCAGGAAAGCGCAGGCCGCAGTGACCTCGACGCACTCGGGGGGCGGCTTCGGCAGTTGCTTCAGCTCGGAGATGGAATTCTTGTCCAGGCAGTTGACCGCCTCCTTGGCGGCTGCCATGGCGGGCATGGCCTCCTTCAGCTCGCCGTCCGCCTCCGCTTGCAGCGCCGCGGCCTCCGATGCCAAGATCGTGGTCTTGGCCTCCTCCTCGTCCGCCTTGGCCTTCTCCACGGCAGCGTGATCTTTGGCCTTGGTGACCTGCTCGATGAGGATAGCCGTGGCCGCCTTCTTCTCCTCGACCTGCACCATCGTGATGTTCAGATCCTCTTTCAGACCCTCCACCTTGCTCTGGACCTGCTCCATGATGGCCAGGCCTCTTTCCAAGCGGTCGCAATTGAAGGTTACGCCGGACTGCTTCTTCGTGAGCATATTGATGTAGAAGCTGATCAGCTCGAGGAAGGACTTGGGAGTGGTGTAGTTGAACCTGCGCTCCATCTGGAGGAAGTTTTTGTTGGCAGCGTCGATGGACAAATGTATCTCGGCCATGCTAGCCGCAACTGAGGCAAGCATGTTATCGTCGTTGATATTGCCCGATGCCTGCAAGTCGACCAAGAACCGTCTGGCGACGCCGTCGAGGGCGTCGCGGGGCCACGGCATGAACTCGTCGACGACACTGCAGCTGATCAGCGCAGGGAATTTGCGGCCGCGAATACGGAAATCGTCTCCCACTGGTGAGTGGCAAAGGGTGAAGTGAAGATTCTTGCGCACCTTGTCGATGAAGAATGAGAACAAGCCGTCGCGGTCGTCCGAGTAACCTCCGGCCTTTGCCGCGTTGCGCACTCCCCCGAAAATGCCGTCGTACTCCTCGCGGGTGAACAGATCGGGAATATTCCCACTAGACAGCATGTCGTTGATGTCCACCAAAAAACGTTCGTCCGCGATCTGACCGTCGGTCATCAAGAAGCAATGCGGGAGGCCTGGCTTCACAGCGGCCTTTTTGTAGAACTCCTGCAGGTCTACTTTCAGCTCGTTTAGCCCGTAGCTCTGGTTCACGAGAATGCTGAGCACGTCCTGGTTGTTGATGAAGCTGCCCAGGCGTGCCAAGGACTGCTTCCCAGAGCCGCCAACGCCGACGAGCAGCGCGTTGCCGCAAGGGTTGTCGGTGATGCGCGAGATACGGCAGATGTGTCCAAGGGCATCATCGAAGAGCACCAGGTTCATTGCCGCGTACGCCTCGTTGTACTCGCCGAGCTTGTCTTCCACAACCTGTGGAGGAGTAGGAGTGGCCACTTCAAAACTCGAATGAATCATATTGTGCAATGAAACTGGCGAGGCCGAGACTCGAAATACTACATATTAGTGATGTTTCTGAAGATACACATGTGCAGCACGGTGTGGCATTGCGACACATAGCGTGACATCACGTTGCATAGCATAGCGTAGCCTAGCGTAACATAGCATGGCACAGCATAGCAAAGCGTGGCATTGCGCAGCATAGCGTAGCGCAACTAAGCGTAGCGTGGCATCACGTAGCATGGCATGGCGTATAATTGCGTAATATGGCATAGTATCGCCGCGTACGTTTTGTCATAGCAGCATTGCGTGGTATGGCAGAAAATAAAACACCAGATGACGCACCATGTCAACGCTGAGCACGGCAGGGCATAGTGTTGCGTTGTGATTCGTAGCATAGCATCCCACGGCATATCGTTTCAGCTTATGGCACGCCATAGCGTTGTGTAGCATGGCATTGCGTGTCACATCGTTACCCTGCAACGATCAGCCTTGTATGACTCAGTGTACTATGTAGTTTCATGCTGCACCGCAGCAGGGTATAATGGCATTGCATCACACGCTGTAGCTTCGCACGGTAGCGTGTGGAATGCACGGGAGCAACTGCGTGGAATACAGAGAGACACACAAGTAGGGGGGGCCGTGCTATGGGAGAGCACATTCTCTCTCTTACGAAGGCCAGGGCGCGCCCGCGCCCGTCGCCTGCGCGCCAGGTGACTCAAGAGCCCTGGTGAGCCAGAACGGCGGCACACAAGGGAGCACAGAGGGAGGCGCAGGAAGAATATATAGGCTGACATGGGCATGACAACCACAGCTCCTACCTTTCTTGCAGCCGAAACGCCGCCTCGCCTCATCCCTGAACTTCCGCTTAAAATACAAGCGAATCGTAGCCATTCTGATCCCGCAGCCATCTCATGCAGTCCCGAAGCGCACGTGACACACAGCCGACACGGCTACACGAACGCGTAGGCCTACTTCTCTTGGAGAGCTCCATGAAGGGATTGCTCGATCCTGGCTCCATGATGAGATCGCCAAATCCTGCTTCATCCGCAGCTTGCCCCATCTCGTCCATGAAGCTCTGCGGCTCGTTTCCGCGGAAGTCGCACTGGTAGCCAGCTCGCTCCAGGTAGCGGATTGCTGCGCTGATCTCCGTGGTCCATTGAGGAGCCCATCTCTCACGCTTGGGGATCAGCTGGACCTCGAGAACCGCCAGGTCGGAGTCCTCGATCTCATCGCTCGAGCGCGCGTGGACGCTCGGAAGCGTCGCGAGGATGACCTGCGCCGCAAGGTGCATCCTGACCGTGCGCCTTCAGAGCCTATACCTTCCAAAGACTTGCTCCTTCGCCCGTAACTTGTCCCAGATCTCCGTCATCGTCGCAATGTGGGCCCAGAGCTGGGCGACGTAGATACTGCCTTCGGTTTAGAACCACTGCCGGTGGACATGCATATTGGGGGAACCTGCGCGGCGGTCGCGGCCCACCTGAAACTCGGAAATGCACGAGTAGAGATTCATCCCGGGAACGACATCGGACGACAGGTGCACCATGCGGCGAGCGCAGGAAGTACGGCAACGTGTTCCTTCACAGAAGACGCCGAAGATACGACGGCCCCCGCCGCAGCTGGAACGAGCCCTTCCTGCTCCGAATGGACGCAAGTGCTGCCGAGTTGGCGCCGTGATAGGCGGTCTGGACGTCGGCTTCTGCTCTGCTGTGCTTCCTACATTGCTGCGTCTCCCCGGCGCGCGCCACTGACATATCCGCGACCCACCGCTGCCTAGTTGGGCGCGCAGTTGGACCTTGCAAAAGAAGGCCCTCGATGAGTCCAGCGAGGCGCTCGCGAGAAACATGAGATCCTCTGGCCACTTGGGCACCCTAGAGCGAACCTCCAGAACCAATGCGTCCAAAACAATCATGGTGACAGAGAGTGTCGAGCAGGTGGCCCCTCGCCACCTTGACCTGGGCGCATGCTTTCCAGTTGGCGCTCGTCATCTTGTCCAGAGCACGCTCGTTATTCCTGGGCAGCTTGTAGGCCTTCCTCCAGCGGGCACAGATGCAGTGTTCTTCGGGTCCGAGAAGTACATGGCCCCGTTCCTGCTGGAGACTCTTCCCTCGCTGGAGTGGAGATGCACTGGTCGATGGTCACCGCGGCCTTCACGGCTTCACCGACGGCTTCCCCAGCTGGCGGAGGATTGCCCGCGCATCCTTTGAGAACCCACGGCGCCTGACAACTCGCCTAAGTTTTCCAGGAAGCGTGCCAGCTCTTCTTTCTGGTCGTCTTCCCCGCAGATTCTGATATGATCCGTTCCCTCCTCGAGAGCAGTCTCGCCATCTTTCGCCGACTCTCCCCAGCTGTCGTTGATAAGCTCCTTCTCCTGAGGTGGGTGCCGCCGGTTCCTGCTTCCTGCCAATCTTCGGGAGTTCGTTGTAGTTCATGCCGCGGGCGATGGCCAGTGCCGCGGTGGCCCAATCTGGCAGGTCACTGAAGCCCCCCCAAGCGAGCGCCGAAATTGGCCTAGTGGTCGCAGGGCCCTCGATCTCAGCATCTGCACACGCCTCGAAGCACCCACTGAGAGGCTCGCATTCACTGGTCGACTGGTAACTTCAGGCAGTTCACCACGACCTCGCACTTTAAGTAGCGCGCGACTTGATTAGATCTACGGCAATCTCGGCGGGCATTTGCGTCAGCAACTTCATCGCGACAAAAAGATAGACTGTCCTGGGCACTGATGCTGCACAGCCACCGTCTCCGATAAGGGGTCATTGAAGGCGGTGCTCGGAAGTGGACCTCGCGTGTCCAGGGTCTGTTGAGCACGGCTCTTCAGCACCAAACAATAGATCGCGCCGCTGGTAGACCAGACTCCGTTTCTCTCCTTCGCGTCGGACGCCGCTTTCTGCATCGCCTGGTCCGCGTCTGCACCCCGAACTTCTGCCGTCTTCTCCTTCGCCATGTCTCGCTTCATCTGCAAGATCTCTTTCCTCTCCACCGTCGCGCGGCGCGGCGGCTGCTTGCAGGCAAGCAGCGCGCCCTGCAGCTGACGAGGGTCGCCCGCGTTTATCCGGGCATGGCACTCGTCTCCGGCAGGAAATCCTCAATTCCAAACGCTTTGGCACCTCGCCGCGAGAACGCACGCGCGGCCCATTGACTACGGGGGGGCCCAGCAAGAGGGCCCCGCAGCCCCTGCGAGGAGGGATCGCGGTCTTGTCACATGGGATCTCCACCAGGTCTCCGGGACAGACGTGCAGTCCAGCTTCTTCCTCGAGCTCCCGACTTGCTGCGCACCTGGTGGCGCAATCGATATCCGCGCTCCGCTCCTAGGCAACGCCCATGCCCCTCCGGTCGATCCGCCCCCCTGGAGTAGCGACCTCGTTCGAGTAGCTCACCTTGGTGCTCCGACGACGGGTCAGGACGTCTACGTCGTCGTGCTCCTCGGGGACCCAAACGTAGACACCGGCGGCCCCGACTACTTCGGCCATGGGAGCAACGGCTCGTCGTCGTGCGTCGGCGTCTCCTCGACTGTCTCCTCGGCCGCGTCGTCGGTGGGGCCCTCTGCGGTACGAGGGCGCCGTGCCGACGAGGAAGCAGCAACAGGCATCTTGGTTCCTCTCGTGGCCTGAGTTTCGCCTGCAGCCAGCTCCAGAGACAACCCTGGCTCCTCGGACCGCTACTCTTCCTGCGCTCTCGCTTTGGCACCGGCCAAGAGCATCTTCTCCAGGCAGCCTTCGTAGGGCGTCTCAGGCAGCCGCAGGAAGTCGCCAGCGGGGTTGTCGCCGAAAGCTGCGCCAGGTGGTCCGCCGCTGGGATCTCCCTCCTGCTCGTCGTCGCCCTCGCTCGAGCCCGCGTCCCCGACGTCCTCGGCCCGCTCGGTCCGGCGCCTGTTCTCCCGGCTCTGGCGGCGCCTTCAATGCTTATCCCTTCCTGATTGGACAGCCTTCTCGGTCAAGGGCCGAATCCGTTTGTTCCAAGGCGCGCGGCCTAGGTTCTTCCTGGTAGGTTCTCGGAGTCCTTTTGAAACGCCCGCCGCTTCCTCCAGGTCCGCCATCATACTGAAGTTGCTCCTCTTGTCCTTCAGGGCGCACCTGTTTCTGTGGAACCGCACTCGCGGCTGCCACTTGAAGCGGCCGTTCTAGAAGGCCCAGGTGTGGAAGTTGACAGAGGACTGCGCAAGCGGGTCCATTATGGCACGCAGGATGCGTTGCATCTCCGAAGGCACCGCGACCTTGTAGAGGAAGGCCGGCAGCCCCTCAATGTAGTTGGCCTTGTCTGCAGTTTCGGGGTCGAACACCTCCACGTCTTCGTGCTCCAGCGCCTCGAATTGACGTTGGGCGTCGGCGAATCCGTTATCCGCTTCGCCTCTCTGCTTGATCAGCGCCATCTTGGTCTGTTGCAGCTCGAGGCGCCGCTGCAGCTTGACCCTTTGGGTCTCAGCTCGGGCGTTGCCCCCCTCCCCCTGCAGCTGGATGATCCTCGCCCGGCGGCAAACCGAACCTTCCGCGCCATGCATCCCGTTGATCACCTGCTCCAAGCGGCGCACCCCCAGCTCGAGGATCAGGGTCGTGGCCATTAAGAACGCAATGCGCTCTTTGAAGTGATGGATATTTGGAACCGAAGCGGATGGCATCCACTCCCTCGGAAAGGACTCAGGGACCTCGAGGCGGTTGACGTACTCCTCGAGGTTCCTGCTGTACTCGTCCACTCGACGTACCCCCATTTGCCTTATCGCCTTGGCGTTGCCTGTTGCCTGATCTCCTCACCCAACTTCTCCGCATTGTCATTTCTGCGCTGCTCGGCCTCGGACGGCAGGTCTTCCTTGTCGGTATCCCCCATGGGCATCAGGTTCACGACGTCGCCGTCGCCGCCGTCGCTGACGACGATGCCGCGGCCGACGGAGTCAAGGCGGTCCAGGGGGCACGGGTTCCGTATAGTGGTGGACCTGCGCTGCTCGTCACGCAGCTCCTCGTCGACCTCCGCAGTTC